CGTCGCTTATTGTCAATAAATTTTGGAACAATTTCATTATTGTCATTTTTACGTTTCTTTTTTTTTTAGTTGAGATATCACTATCAACAGATGAAGTTTCTGGACTCTGTAATAATAAAGAAAAATCAACTACACTATTGTCCTCAATTCTGCAAGAACTTGAACATAGATTTACATTATCTGTATTTTTAACTGTAGTGTCTTCAGTGCTACATGTTAAGTTTTCTACACTTTTGTTATTATCCATAATTTCCTTATTAACATCATACGTTGATTTCCCAAAAAATAACGGTTCTATAGATGGAGATCCACCCTATATTTGAATTAGATGATCATAAAATTCAAGTACTACTTTTCCACTTCCATTCCTTCGACCTGATGTTACAGCTAATGAAAAATTCTGACGAACTTCTTTGATTTTTTCTTGAACTCTAGTATAACCTCTTTTAATAAGAGTTATATCAATTTTATTTTGTTTGGATAAGATATTGTCATTAGGACAAACAGGCCCAAACCAACTTGGCTCATGACAGTAAATGTTAGCCAAAGCTTTTCTACAACTTTTGTACTGATTTGATTTGTCAGCATTAAAATCCTTGTCATTATATTCCATTTGAGATTTAAAATTTGATAAACTCTGTATTAAATTTGAAATTTTATTGTCTTTATCCCAACGAAATCGAACTTCTACGCTTTTTTTTATCTTACTTCACTTACTGGTTTTAGTGCAGCCATCTTTAATTTTACATTAATAATGGAAACTGTCAGGGCTGAAAATCCTGCCTCGGTTTTATAAAACGGGCTAGGATATTGATCCCCGGGGGGAATTTCATCCCGCTCATCATATAATACTAAATTTGAATTTGTAAGAAAACAAATTGTTAGGCAGGGGGAAATTTCAGCCAGGATAAGCGGGCTGAAACCTAGCCCGGGCTGATTTTTACTCGTGTAATGAGCCCCTTAGTCGGCAAAAGTTTTAATGGCACCTCCCCCCCCCACGTGACACCTACTCGCGCCGGCCATATATATATATATATATATATATATATATATATATATATATATATATATATATATATATATATATATATATATATATATATATATATATATATATATATATATATATATATGAAGGGAATAAGCGGATAAGCGGAAAAAATATTACATATACTGTCTAAAACAATCATAATAACGGTCAACGTAAAAAAATATATACTTTTGAAACCCTTTGCTTAAATATAAAATTGAATTAAATAAGATCAAACAAAATATCAGTAACTTCTTTCTGCTCAGTTTCTAAGTATTTAAAGAATGTTTCGTAAAAAATCTTTATAAATTTTTAAATGAATATAACGACTAAAATGTCAATAGTTTAAAAATAAAATGCGGATAAAAACGACCGTAAATTTCAAAATAAATAATTGAGCACACTCAATCTCATTTGTCGAATACAATTATTAAAAGTCTTATTTATCGAAAATTATAAAAATGTATTTGTACAGGTGTACTTCCAAATACCCATCTAGACTATCCAGAAGGTTGAGCAGAAGAAACTAAAGAGTCATACGATGGGGTCGCTGTACGTGAACCCAGATTATTAACGTTAGTGCGTTTACGCAACTGCCGATAAAAATGTTAAACCACTGATACCCAGTGGGCAACTGTCGTCCGAAAGACGTCCGTTGGATGTCTTAAGGACGTCTAGACTTTCGTGAGACGTCTGACAGACGTCCCCTGGGCGTTGCGTGCCCACTGGGTAAGGGATGACGTTTTTATCAACACTTCCAGCACCCCCTAAATGTGTTTTATATAATAAAATAATACTGGATTTAAAAATTTTTTGATAACAAAAATAAGTATCCTCGAACATTAAATGGGTCCCAAATATTTTATAAAAAAACTTTTTCAAATGTATGCCATGTTTCTTTTTTTTTTTTTTTTCACTGTGTAAATATATACAATCTGTAAGTTATTAACAAGATGTATAGATAGCAGGGACGAGAAGAAGATTAATATGTCTTATCATAAAGCCCTTGATAAACTCTCTAAAGTTTATTTTAGAAAGAAGCATTTCCATCAACCAGTGCTCAGATTATTTGAAATACTAAGTATTTGAAATGTTATTTTAAATACTTTCTTTGTATTTGTATTTTAAATACTTTTGTTGAAGGTATTTAGTATTTGTACTTAAAATACTTTTGATTAGTATTTTGTATTTTGTACTAATTGAAAATACCTATAATTCAAATACCGCTTAAAGCATTCACCGCGCACGATGAATTAACTGTTAAATGTCATAGTGTCACTCTGCCACTATTTATTTTGAATTATTTCTTATTTTATTGATATACCATGGTTTATCTACCTAGGTTTCATTAGGATAAATATAAAGTTATTTTGCGGGAATCAACAATTTTAATTTAATGTTCACTGCCGTGAGCCGCGAAAACAAAATGACTGATAAAAATAGTAAAATTTTACCAGCCATTAAAGATAGTAAAAAAAAAGTAACAAAATATCAACATTATGCTTTTTATGTGTATGTAATGTGGAGACTATAAGACACATAAGGTAGATGGCAAAATGCACTTCAATATAGAATGCAACTCGACGAATATATTTTATATATTTTGATGCTAGTAAAGCATCAAATGTTGCAAACAAATCAATACTCTGTCCCGTGGCAAAACGTAGGAATTCTCAGTACAATGCTATCAAGCGATTACTAGAATTATGTGACAAACTAAATGATATATGTAATGCTTTGAATAAGCCAAAGTTTAAAAAGCAAGAATTAAAATGCCTGCAAGAATATGCCTTGTTCATGAAACCTGTTGCTACAACACCGGATACTTTGAAAGGAAATAATGTGTATTATTGCCTTGTGTTTTCACATTTGCATAGCTTACAGGTGAAATTGGAAGCGTTTCAAAGTTGCCAGTTAAAGTATGGTAAATTACTTGCTACAGCATTGTTAGCAAGCATGAAAATTCGTTTTGAAAAGGAGCTGAAATTTGATGTGAGTAATTCATACAAGCTTATTTCAGCAGTTTCTCATCCACTGTTCAAGTTACGGTAGATGCCAATAAATAAACAAGATATCTGAAGAGAAATATTTGAAAATGCGCTATTAGCTGCCTGTGACCCATTGACAGCGACCAATTTCAATGTGAACACTGACAGCACAACTGAAAATTTTGGTTGTACATAATGATGACACTTAGCAAGAATGCATGTTGTATCTGAATAATAAAGATACAAGTTTGAATGCACTGAAGTATAAGACTATTCAGTCATTGTACCACCGTCGGCACCAGTTGAACGACTTGTTAGCACTGCGGGAACAATACAAACACCAAGGCGTAGTTGTCTAAGTGGTATAATGTTTGAAGGACTACTCTGGCTAAAAACAAATGTGAATGACTGAATGAAAGATATTTAAATATAAATGTAGTATAAGTGACTAAAAACTACTTTTGTGCAATCCTAGGAAAAAAAGTTCTATAGAACTTTTAAAAACTTTTAGAAATTCCATAGAATTTCTATAAAAGTTCTATAGAATGTCTATTAATTTCTATAAAAATTGCTGCAAAATTTTTTTTTCTATAAAAAAAAAAAGTAGAAAAAAGTTCTATAGAAATTTCTATAGAAGTTAATAAAGACAAATTTTATAAAATTCTATAGAATTTTTATAGGCAATATGTTTCAAAAGTTTATAGAAATTCTATAGAACTTTTTTTCCTGGGATGAGAGTTTGTAAAAATAAATTTTAAAAATGGCTTATTTTTTAGTTGCGAATTTTAAAAGTAGTAAAGTATTTTGTATTCAGTGTTTAAAATACTTTTTTAAAAGTATTTTTAGTTTAAATACTTTTGAAGCATTTGTATTTTTATTTAACATACTTTTTTGTTCCAGTATTTGTATTTTAAGTATGTTTATAAAGTATTTTTACCTAGCACTGCCTTCAACTATATAAAATAAACAAATGTAAAAGTGGTAAAATAATAAATAAAACATCTATTATTAAAAAAGAGCATAAATCGCTATTGCCTTAAACATATTTTTCTAAAAGCAAGAAAATATTTAACTTTAAGTAAGAAAATGTTAAAAAGTTTAAGCAAGAAAATTAAAATATATAAAAGCAAGAAAATATTTAACTGTTTATATTATTAAATATTAAACTCCAGAACACAAAGCAAAAGTCTGCAAAATCAAAAAATAAAAAGAATAATAACACATTTAAAACAAAGACATAAATAAAGATAAATAAATGATATTTTATAACTAAAAATGAAAAAAGGAAACTTAACAAGATTTGTTGATTATAATTTTTTTTCTTGATATTTATAAAATTACAAATAGTTTTAAAATTTTTATATGATTTCGTTTTGTTTGAGAACCGACATGAGGGTCCGTAGCAACCACTAAAAATATATTTTTTGCGCACCGTCGTTTTAGTAGTACTTCGCTTAAAGCAGTATTAATCACAAACACGAACCCAGCAATCATTCTATAGCAGAGTTCAGGGGACCGATATAAGCATTTTGAACATACCACTGTAGTTTTGCTTATCGGTTACAGAGTGACTAGCCGATGATTAGCCATTATTAACATGTTGGAAAGTTATCGGCTTGCCATTTTTAGTGGTTACCACGGCTGGTCCACTAAGTAACCAATGAGCAAATCTCCAATGAAATGCTAAAAAATGTCTATATAGGTCAACTGCAAATCAACTAAAACAATGTTTGCTAAAAATTAACAGATAAAAATCGTGAATAATATTAAAAATATAAGTTTTATTGGAAGTGCTTTGCGCTCTGTTTTTTCAATCGTCCCCTGTGTTAAGTTATATTATTTACAACAAATTATTTACAAAGTTGTTTGCAAAAAACAATACTTCAATTTTTAAATTATGGCTAAACACATTCCAACAATTAAACTTAATCATGAATTTTGATTTTATATATCTCATTGGTTAAACTTAAGTAGCATTCGAAAATTATATAAATTATTATAAATAAATTTCTTATACATGATTGTAATGTGCATCATAATAAAACCACGCATCTGAATGAGCCCATATTACGGAATAGGTACACAAATAGGTTACTGATGCTTTACTCACAATGCCATGACACTTAAATTTATTACTGACTTGAAGTTTATATTAATAAAGTATGATTCAGTTGAAACTGATTCTACTTCAAATGTTACAGCAACTAAAAATTGACCTACATTTTCAATTGATCCTTCAAATGTTCGCACAATTAAAAATAAACTTTCTTGCTCTAATACATTAACTTCTTCGCTTACAATGTAAGAAGAAAGGGTGTAAGAAGGGTGTACGCTACTGATGTTCGTTTAGAGTTGTAAAGTTTCTTTGTGTCAAATCTGTTTGTTGAACTATAATTTTTTAAATCACATACGCACAGCCGAAAACTAAACTTTGCATTGCTGCATTTGCGGTAGCCATTAAATTCTGATATTCGATCCCACGCTACTAATTCTAAACCAAAGTTTTCAGAAAGTTCGTTTAAAGTTGATTTTACAACAATATTGAATTTTTCTGCATCATTAGTTGATCCTGTACCTGGCAAAGTATAAATATCAAAGTTAGTTAGAGTGAACTCGCCGTTTCTAATTTGACTAAAAATTTCAAACCAAAGTGGAGTAAGACGTTTACAGTTTTGCGATGAGTTTGTAATTATATTGTTCAATTTTCCCAAAGCAAATTCTAAAAACATCAATGCATTGCTATCGTTTTTGCCATTGGAATAGATGTTTTGACAAATGCATATATTAGGCATCCGTAGAGAAAGGTCATCACAATTTCTATTTTCAGAAACTCGTTCTAAAAGACCTTTTTCAAAGGTATTATCTGCATTCTTATTGTCATCTTTTTCAGCCAAATAAAACAACATTTTGTGTACATCGACGATTGTAAATAATCTATTTTGATTTACTCGCAAGTTTCGTAACTCTTCAAGGCCAATATAATTTTGAACATTTTTTGGGATTAAAATAAACATTGACGGGTGAAACATTTCGAATCGCCCCTCAATATAATTAGAAACAAATCTTGTGTACGTATTACCGTGATCAGAAAATATTATAGTTAGAGTGTTTTTGAGTTTTGACATTGTTTTCAAAAATTCAGACAAGTCTTCGTCTATTGTCTGCACACGTGTACCATACGAATCATGAGCAACATTCAGTTCCGTAAAAGAAACTGCATTTTGGTTCTCTGGTAAGTTGTTGTAAAAATGCTCAAGGTACTTTAGGTAATAGTAACTTTGTTGTTTGCTGTTATAACAAACCTTTTCGTTTTTTGGTGTTTGAAACACAGTTGATAAACCAAGGCTAGAAAGTATTTCGCAGCTGCTTTGAAGGAGACCTAAAAATAAATAAATGAAAAATAAAAAATGTTTATTATTTATTTAAAATATTTCAAATGTATTAATTTATTTATCTAATCAGTGTAGAATATTTTTAAGTGAATTTGTTTTAATTTTTAATTTTGAAATTATTTTAATTTAACAACTTTAAGTAAAATTATTTTAATGTTTGTTGACATTTGTTGTTATTTTATTTTTAAATGCAGCCGTGGCGCAGTGGTAGCGCACATTTGCCTCAAAAACATAAGATCCGTGGTTGAAACCCCACTTCTGGGCAGGTTTTGCGACATCGGTTTGGAAGGAGGCGTGAACTTCCTATTAAATGCTCGGTACTCTGTGATAAGACCGTAAGGACTTCTTGAAGAACCTTAATCAACTTAAAAAATATATATATAATACATAAAATAAATATAATAAAACTTCTATTTTTTATTATATTTATTTTATATATCATGTTATAATCAGGGGTGTGGAGTCGTAAAAAAAAAGTAACGACTCCGACTCCAGTGGTTGAAATTTTTTGAGTACAACTCCGACTCCGACTCTAACTCCAAAGCAAAATTTTTTAAAAATTCTTTGAATACTTTAAAAAATATTGCGCGATAAGTTGAAATTTTTTTTTTGACAAATTTATGCAACGTTTTTTGAAGTTTAGTATGAACATAAGGTTAATTGAATGTTTTGTACATACACGTGCAATACCAAGAAATATTACTATCGGAGTCGGAGTCGCGATATTTTTTAGCGACTCCGACTCCGCTAAAATTGTTGCAACTCTGCAACTCCGACTCCGACTCCGACTCCACAGCCCTGGTTATAATATATTTTAAATATGAAAATAAATATTCATTTTTAGTTCTTATTTTATTTTATATAAAAGAAACTAATTATTTTTATCGTAATTTAGTAGAAATCCTCTTGATTTTTCTTTGCAATTAAATTACAGGTGTTAATTTCAAATCCCTAATGTTCTAGCGGACAAGATTTGTTGTCTTGGCTGCAAGTTCTTTGTATATATTCAGTATGTAATAGTCAGACAAAAATGGTATCATACCTTTTTCTGCTGTAATTCTTATTATTTTGTATGAATCGGTTACAGATGATGAAAACTTAAGCTTGTGAATGAAGTTTATGTTTATTTAAAACGAGTAACTTATTTTTTAATGGCTTTCGATAAAATAGTTTTTATATAAAACCAATTTTATGATTTATATTATCATTAAAATAATTTATTGGGGAATGAGGGGGTTATTATAACACTTTTTTAAAAAACTTTCGTGATTTTTAATTGTATTTTGAAGCTCTGTGTGAGAAAAAGTTTTTTTGCTGAAAAAGTTAACTTTACTATTGGCTTTCAAAAAAGTAAGCTGGCCTAACTAATTCAAAATGTAGGTTCTGTTTATCTATTTATTTATTTTTTATCTGTTTTTTTTAAAAAAAAAAAAAAAAAAAAAAGCTATTCATCATCCAAAACTACCTAAATTATCAGTAATAATTAATAATTACAGAGTTTAAAAATATTATAAATAGCTTAACTATTGTAATAAAATTATTTTAGTTAGTCTTTGTATATAACATTTTAACAATAAAAAAATGAAATCAGCAACCAATCTCATTAAAAAATGAACTTAGTAATTTTTTTTTATTAAGTTATTAAGGTGTTGCTAAAACACTAGGAAGTTCACGCCTCCTTCATTCCCATTGTCGCTAATTAGGTTGGAGCCGGCGTCGAACCTCGAAACTCTTAGCTCTGAGTCAGATATTTTACCACTGCGCCACGGCTGCTTGACTAACTTTAGAAAGTTGTTATCATCATAATGACTATTGCAGCAATTTTCAACTGTAAATAAATAAAGAATAATATCAATATAAATTGGGTAAACAATATTAAAACTTTTCTTCTAATTAAATAGAAATTATAAAGTTAAAATTTTTTAAAAGTCAAGTTTGAATATCGTTTATTGAATACTTTTTACCTTGCTTGGGCAAAAAAGGTTTATATGTTTTACCTTTTTTGGGGAGAAAGTTTAATTAATCCATTTTTAGTACAATTTAATGCCAATAAATCAGTGAACATCAAAGTCGATTGACACAAACCCCTTATTTTTTTATATCAGAAAAGCAAAGAACATTAAATTAGTTAATTAAATTGTTAAGTCCTATAGTTCAAATTGCGAAAGTTATTGTTAGCTGAAACGTGTCAACAGTATTAACACTCATAAGTTTTGAACATAAAATGATTATGTAGTTTTATGATACTGAATTATTAGAAGAATAGCAAAATACATGCTTTCAGAAAATCTTCTCAATCTGTGGTAAAATCTATGGTAGACAGGGCAAGACTTTCCTATGTCAACAAATTGAACCTTATTTCGAGCCTTAATTCTACTGAACACCTGTTATTATTCCATTCTATCATTAAATAAGGGGTTGAAAACTTCACAAACATCACTGGATAGGCATTACCAAAAAAAGAAGTTTGTCTTCACCAGCAGCTGAAGACAATCTTAAAGCCAAGTGAATAAGTGGCAACTCAACAAACTTAATCACTCTTCATTTTTGTGTATTGAGATCTACTACATTGAAATACAAAACTATTGATTTTTCAACCATATTAATTAATTTCAAAGAATATTTAGAAAGCAATGAATAGACGTTACTTTGTCTTCTCAACCATTATGTCAATGATGATGACATATGTTTCTTGTATGGAATATTCTGTTGCCCCTGGAAAGAACTGCTTCAAGTGGCCAAATTAAGCGAATATCCTCCAATATTCATTTCTTGATGTTGTTTGAGGATTGATGCACCTATACTAACTAATCAGAGAGGAGATTATTATTCTTTCTCAATACTAACAACGTGAAAATTCAGATGGCCATTATTAAACTTCTTAAAATTTGTTGTTTGTTTATAATTCTTAGAAAACTATATTTCTCATTTTAAATGGAATTTTAAATGGAAAAAACGTTTGCTTTGTTAATGAAAGATAGAACCCTCAAACTTTAACGTTGAAAAAACGTTATAGTTTGAAAGTTTCATCTTTCATTAACAAAGTTAAAAAACTAGTTTTTATCAAGTGCTCATGTACTACTCCTTTTTAAAAATATATTATATCAAAATAATTCATTTGGCAAATCATTTTTTTTCAGTAAGTACTTATTATAAAATTTTAATGTAAAAAATGTTAACATTTTTTTTTTAAACATCTTAGCTTCCAACAAGGCTGCAAGCAACCACTAATTAGGTTGAAGTTATTGGAAGAGAAAAGATAAAGATTCTAGAGCAAGATAACAATTAACATACGACTTAAAAGATTGCAAATTATATGAACAGGAAAGCAAGATGAAGTAAACGAATTCCAAAGAACTGATGTTTGAGAGAAAAAATAGACGAATAAGAGTTTTTGGAGCACTAAGGAACAGTTACAGAAAAAAGATAAGACTTAATTAAATGACACGTAACACGAGAGTGAATTTTAGTAGATGGGACAAAAGACACTAGCTCTTTAGAGCAGTGCCCATTATAGTATTTGTAGAAAAGAAAAAGAGAAACAACATTACGACAATGTGATGATGGTTGACGGTTGACTGAAAGAGTAGGTCCAACTATGTTTACAAAGCGTTTTTGCATCTTGTCTAAAAGAGAAAGGGCATCATTAGAAGATCCACCCCAGATATGGCAATAGTATACTATACAAGGTCGGATTTGAGATTTATAGAGATAGAGAATAAAATCCAGATTAAGAAAGTGTCTAGCTCAATAAAAAGATGCAACTTTAGCAGATGCTAATTTTGCAACGGATTTAATATATGGTTTCCAAAAAAGATCAGAAATAAAAGTTTATCCTAGAAGATGAAGGGTAGATGACTCATCAAGTACATTATCGTTCATAAATATATCTAAATTATTGCGATAACAATTAGCTGAAAAAAATTGAGTTTTATCTAAAATAAAGTTCACCAGCCACTGTGAGCCCCATGCTGTAGTAGAAGTAAGATCCTTTTCAAGCTCAAATGTCCCCTCCAAGCAATCAGAGAGAGTTGGCTTTTTATCATGACAAGAATAAATGGTAGTATCATCAACAAACAATGCCACCTTAGATGTGAGAATATCTGGAAGATCATTAATGTAAATTAAAAATAATATAGGGCCAAGGATTGAATCTTGAGAAACCCCTGAGGTTACAGGTTTTATACTACGATTGGAAAGGAAAGTAATCTTAAAGATGTTTCCAGATACACCATAAGAATAAAGCTTATGGAGAAAACCAGCATTCCAAACTTTTTCAAACGCTTAAAAAATATCAAGAGTGATGGCCTTAACCTCTTCACTTTTATCTAATGCACGATAAAATCTATCGGTTATTACTGTAAGCAAATCAGCCGTAGAACCAGAAGATCGAAACCCATATTGATGATCAGAAAGTAAGTTATTAGATTCAAGATGAGAGATTAAGTGTTTCTTAATTAAAGATTCAAAAACCTTGTTTATGATAGGAAGATGTTTATTGGGACGGTAGTTCGACAAATCGAATCACTTTCCAAAACTTTTAAAAATAGGGATAATAGATGCTGCTTTCCAGCAGGCTGAAAAACAAGACTCTGATAAGCACTTGTTGAATAGTTTTGTAAAGATAGACGACAGCTCCGGAAAACACTTCTGCAAGACTATAACAGGTATGTTGTCCGGACCACAAGCTGTAGAAGAGTGTTAGCAGGAAATCACTTTAGATACAAAAGCTGGAGTGATACGAATGTCAAGCAATGGATTAACCTGTTTGACGGCTATATCAGGTGGAATCAAGAGATAATATTGAAAAGTTTTTAGCAAAAAATTCAGCTTTGTCTTTAGGTGAGGTGACAAATTCTGAACCATACAAAAGAGGTGGAATTACAGACTTACCCTTATTATTGATACTATTAAAGATTTTCCAGAGGTCACGAGAGCCTAATTTTTGTGATGAAATACGAGATTTCATGACCTAAGAATAGCGGGTTTTGGCATTAGTCAAAACCCTTTTACAATGGTTTCTAGCAGTAATAAACAGACGTCTGTTTTGTGGAGAATCGTTTTGCTGATAGATATGGAATAGATATAGTAATGGTTTCAATTGGCAATTGCAGCAGCACAATGTGAGGAAAACTATGGGAAAGAGTGAGACTTGACCTGAAATTTTCGAGAAGGAATAAAGGATTCCATGCCAGCCTGAATCCACGAAGTTATGTAAGAAGCACATTTGTCAACAGGAAGACGAAAGATTTCTACCCAAGGGCCATCACGAAAGAAATGTGTCTGTCATATTCATGTTGCTAAATATGGTCCTCAAAGTAGAATTTGCACTTTTTTTGTTATTATATATTTTTCAAATAATTGCAAACCATGTGCAATTATTTAACAAAATGGGCCAAATTTTGGGACCTAATATCTCTGGAATAAATAAGAGTTTTTTTTAAAAAAAAATTACCAGTGGTCTACTTTCATTGTTTTTTATAAAATATCTGAAAATAAGTACAATTTGAAGACTTCACTTTCAGAATTTGCTTATTTTGCTTTTTGAACAATTCAACTTTATCACTAGCTCTTGTTAATAACAGTGTTACCTGTTCTGAAAATGACTCTATTTCCAAGAATACTTCGTTAGATTTATCTATGTCCTTGAAAAAAATTGAAAAAATTGAGACACCACATCTAAGCGTTGGTTATCGTATTATTGACATTGAAATTTTATTTGATGTAATAAGTCAATTATGTTGCAAAAATTGTTTACAATCTGGATTATATCTTGCAGAATGTTTTCCTAAGAAAAAAGGATTTAGCTCGATGTTGAATATATGCTGCCCTAATAACAAAAAAATGGAATTTTATACTTCAAAGACTCTGCTCTGGGAAGAAATATTTTGATGTAAATAATGGAATAGCTTATTCTATGCGTATATGTTGTCAAGGTTATTCAAGATTAGAAAAATTTACCTCTTTAATGAACATTCCTGCACCAACAACTAAGAACAATTATAACAAAATAATTAAACATGTCTCTAATTGTGCTAAAGTTGTTGCAAAAGAAACATTGTCTGATGCTGTTAAAGACGTCAATCTTCTTCGAATATTGTTGATACCGCAGTATCAGTTGATGGTAGCTGGCAACGTCGCGGATTTTCCTCATTAAATGGAGTAATTACTGCTATATTTATTTATTTATTTATTTTTGTTATTAAGGTACTCCAAGAAGACCTATCGGTCTTGTCACAGAGCACTGCGGAAGTGCATTTAACTAGGAAGTTCACGCCTCTTTCCTTACTGTGACGCGAAAATATGCCCTGAGCTCGTTTCGAACCTCAATCTTTTGTTTATAAAGCAAGCGCTCTAACCACTGCGCCACAGCCGTACAAATATCAATGGACACAGGTAAAATTTTTGATTGTTAACCAATGAGTTGATCATGTAAAACATATAGTTTAAAACTAAAACTTAAAGAAACTAACCCAAATTTCTTTGAAACTTGGAAATCATCACATGTATGTAAAATAAATTATCGTGGCTCTGTTCCTGGAATGGAAGTAACTGGCACTCAAAGAATATTTAGCCGTTCTATTGCACAAAATAAACTGAAGTCTGTAAAGTATTATGGTGAGGGTAATTGTAAAAGCTATTCGTATCTTAAGGATACTTTTCCTGGTATAACGGTGTATAAGTTGGAGTGTGTTGGACATGTACGTGTTGGTAGCAGATTGCAAATTTTGAAAAAAAAACGTAAAAAGGACTTGGAGGCAAAGGCAAATTAACAAATGCTATAATTGATTGCCTACAAAAATACTATGTAATTGCTGTAAGGCAAAATGCCAATGATTTAGAAGGTATGAAAAAAGCCATACTTGCAACATTGTTTCATGTTGCATCATCAGCTGAAATTAAGTGGCATGCCCATTGCTTTGATGGTATCAATAGTTGATGTTGTTATGAAAATGATAAAGCTAATTTAACGTCTACCTACAAGCCAGGTGCTTGTCTTCCACTCTCAGTTGTCAGTCATCTAAGGCCTGTGTATATAAATTTATCTCAAGAAGAACTCTCAAAAAAATGCCTTCATGGTAAAACCCAAAACCAGAATGAAAATTTAAATGGGATGATATGGCAGCGCAAACCTAAAACAAAGTATGTTTCATTAACGCAGTATGAGTTAGGGGTTTATGATGCTGTTTCAAATTTTAATATTGGAAGAAAAGCAAGTACACTTTTGTTTGAAAACTTTAATATGGTTTTTCGTGTATATACTCTCAAAGGCTGTTAAACCATGAACAAAAAGCGCCTAATATTTGCAGAATATCAAAATCGGATTATATCTAAAAAGCGACGAAAAGTTTTTCGTGGATGCCAAAAAAAAAAAGATGATGCAGAGAATGATCAAGAAGGTTGTATTTATGACGCTGGTTCATGTTCATATAAATAAAAGTTTTTAAATTGAGTATATGAGTGAAAATGTTATGGAAAATTATGAATATAATATTCAAACGAGTTTTTCTCAAAATGTAAGTTTTTGACCTATTTTGAATACGCCATTTTAAAAATTTCATTATAGGTCAAGTTTGGTCACTTATTTTTTTAAAATAATTATTTATACTTTTAGTTAAAGTTTATAAATAGAATATTTATATTATGTTGAAGATATATATTTTTTTGAGAGTAAAATAGCCGGTTTTGGATTTTTTTAAACATTTAAATAGTTTTTATGATAGATTTTTTTAGTTATACATTTCAGTTAAACTAGAACAATTATTTTAAAATTTAAGTGATATATTTTTCTTTTAAATATTTTGTTAAATTGCAAATAATAAGTTTTAGAATTTTGAAAGGTTTTGTATTACTCACATTGCCCAATTATTGGCCGCATAATCATTATGCGGCCAATAATTGGGCGATAATGATTATGATACCAAATTGTACTAATTTGTAACCATTACAATTGTTCAATATTACCTATATGTTTGTTTGTTTTTATTTTTTATTATAAACTCAGTTATTTTGCGCACTTCAGTGAAAAGAGAAATTATCACTGTAATTGCTGCTGTGAATGCAGCTGGTAAAACTATACCTCCACATCTAATACCAAAGGTAAAATAATAAAATCACTTTAAGCTTTTAATACAAGTGATGCTTGTATTAAAACAGTCCATCCATTTTGAACAGTTGGTTCAAAATGGATAGACAAAACAAGGAATTGCATATCTTTGGTTTACGAATACATTTTTGCCAAACATTGGAACAAACAGGCCAAAGGTATTAATAGTTGATGGCCATGATTCTCACAATTCAGTTGAGTTATTATCTGTTGCTATTGACAACAACATTGATATTGTTAAGATGCCAGCACATTGTTCTCATAGGTTGCAGCCATGATAATGATTTGCAGACCGATTTGCAGACCGAACTGTGTTTGATCCCATGAAGACTTGTTGTCATGATTTAACGAATACAATGTTACAATCAGTAAGTCTAACTTCTGTGGATTGTTCAAGAAAGCTTGGGATAAAGCCTTAACTGCCGCAAACATTATTTCTGGTTTTCAATTATGTGGTATATTTCTCTATAATCCTTCTGTAATTTCATATGAAGCCTATTTGCCCAATTCACTTTACTCTCACCAGTTATTAGGGAATAAGAACTTGCTTGAATCAAGTTTTAGTACCTTCAAATGATACCATGAACTATCAATCTGGAATATCACTAAACAAAGCTTTTGAAAAGCAGGTGGATCCCAGTTCAATTTGTACTTTTATAAATGATGTTGATACAACTGAATCTGTAGGCATCTTGTCTGAATCAGAAATTTTGAATGTAGATTTAGATCAACTCGATAATGACACAGCATTAATGTTATGGAGTAGTTTTTTAACTCCAGAGTATCTGGCTGCTTTTAATTTCTGTTATTAAAATGGTTTTGATGTTTCTGACAATTTGTATTTAAGCATACAAAGACTTTTATATAAACCAAAATGCAATCAGTGATGTTTCTTTTGAAAAATACTAGTGTTGATTGTTGTAGTCCAATATCTGTTAAAACAAGTTTATTGAAAAGTACCATTGACAATGATCATGATGTTTTCTCTTACCCAAATTTATATGTCAATAAGTCAAAAAAACAAAAGAAATATTAAACAAAAGTATTTTGTTCTAACTTCACCTGAAGCTATGCAAGCCAAGTTAAATGATCTAAAAAAGAAAGAGGAAAAGGTTGAGGCTGCAAAAATAAAATAATTGAAGCAACTTAAGGTAAAAGAAAAGAAATTAAAACTTCAACAGGATAGAGAAATAAGAAACCAATCGAAACATTGATTTTGTTTTTAATAAGTGAACAGTTAATATTTTTTATCAAATATTGTTAATACTTTTTGACCTATTTCTTGAGTTTTGATTGTTGAAATTTCTTTGAATCAATATACAATTTTATAGATACAGTTTTACAAATAATTTATTTTCTTTGTAAGTTATTTTGCTCATTGTTGGAGGGGTTACTTATTTCTAAGCTAAATTTTATTGAGCAAAATATAACGTTTAAAAATTTAAATAATTTGATGTCTAGCAGTTAATGATCAACATTTAACTAGTTCGTTATTTTGTTTTAAAATCTAATTTAAAATTTGTTAAAATCTTATGAAAATTATACGATTTTCACAACATTTTAACCCGTGACAAAATTAGTGGAATCTAATTTTTCAATAAAATGCCAACTGGTTCTTCCCAACTCGGCCATTAATTGGTGTTTATTCAAAATTTAAGTTCAAATAAATTGTTTATATTGTTTAATTTGGTAACAATTACTCAAAGTAGATTGAAAGAAAGTCCATTATTAAATAAAGCAAGAAAAATTTAAATCTGAAAAATTTACTGTCTGCAGAGTGCCTTTAAAAAAATATGTGGTTATTATTTGCTCAGTTTACCCTATATTCAATGCTACATCAGGGCGTATTTGATGCTACGTCAGGGCGTATTTGATGCTACGTCAGGGCGTATTTGATGCTACGTCAGGGCGTATTTGTCAATTTCTTTATTATTTAATTTAACTCTTTAACTTTAGATAAAAACAAAATTTTTGTTATGGTTATATTTCTAAGGATTTGTTTATGAATTTTATCTAAACACACATATTTATCTAAACGCACATATTTATTCAATTTTTATCTAAACGCACATATTTATCTAAATGCACATATTTATTCAATTTTTATCTAAACGCACATATTTATTCAATTAGAAAAAAAAAGATTTATCTTGTTTTGTGTTTATACGTCAGTGTCGAGAAAAATGTAAATAAAAAATGTTTGTTAACGTTTTTTGTCATTTGAACTCATAAATTTAAACACATTTTATTATTTAAAAATGGAATGGATAAGAATAGAAACCTTTGGTAAAATAATTTCCCAAATTTAACGTGTTTGTTTGTTTCAAATCTTATTTTTTAAATCAAAAGGTAAAAAAAGGTAAAAGAGACATTTTCTTAGAAAACCTGGCAATAATTACTGTTAGCTCAAAAGTGATATCCTTCAATCACGCTTAATTTTGTATACAGTAACTCTGATAGGGTAAAAAAAAGCTTGTAAATTTTTTTTTTTCTAAATATTTGTAATTTTTGAGTTGCGGTTGGTCAAACTTTTGACTTTTTAACACTCGAGATCATTATTGAGATTTTGTGCTTTTTAAACTAAATTTAAATACAGTTGTCTTATTACAACTGTATTCTCAGTTTCTTTTTATTATTAACTAAGTATATGTAGAACTTTCGAAAAAAATTCAAAAAAACTTAGGAAAACCCTTTCTTAGACTAAAAATCATAAGCTGAAATTACACACTTTTGAATTGTCCCAGGTGGGAGATATCCAAGGAGCGCCAAATAAAAAAAAACGTTTTAAAAAAAGAAAAAAAAATTGTTTACTTATTATATTGAAAAATTTAGAAAAATAATGACTTTAAAATCTAATAAAAATCAGAAA